TCAAATACGGGAACTGGCCGGTCAACACAAGCCCTGATTTTAAATGTTCTGTTTTCTTGTGAAAATAGATCAAATTAAACTTGATTACCACCAGAGCCAGGCGCACTGCGCCGTTATCTCCGTCACTGTAAACGAGGGAAAAACAAATTGATCGGATCCTTTTCTGACCTTCCCCACCTACAAAGTTTAATTACAACAATCAAACGTGACAGAGCCTGGATTTGTATTCTGAACAGTCTAAACATGTTTTAAAAAGAAACGTATGATAAAAGGGGCACCTGCTCAGTAAAACCATCAACAGGGTGAAAAATACCAAAAATTGTAGGCAGAAACGGGCTACAACTTCTGGATACATTTTATATAAATCGTTTTATTGATTATCGTCTTATGAAAGATAACTTTAGCCCCGTTCCCACCTGTACCGGGTCGGCCCGGGCCGGGTAGCGTAGGTTGTTTACATATCTGGGTGGCCTGGTATTTTTCCGGGCCAACCAAGGCTCATTCTCAGCCCTCTTCTTGAGGGGGTCTGCTTCAGGCCGACCAGGGCCAACACGCCCACTGCTGACAGCGCTTTGGGCTTCCTGACAGGGTTGCGGAAGGCGCTTTATAAATAAAGCTTTGATTGATTGATTGATTGATTGACAGCAAATTCACACCTTCCATTAGAGCAAGCCTCTGAAAGGTGGGTAGAATCAGCCCACATGGGCTTAAGACAAGGATGTGTGGAATCAACCGGGCCAGGCTGGGGCCGACTGGGGCTATCCGGCCCGGGCCGACCCGGTACAGATGGGAATGGCCCATTTGACGTACACGAGCGACCAGGCACGTTGCACGCTTTTCAAAAGTGTGGGGGATGTTGTCTGTGCCTAAAATAATTTTATGTTATTCATCTTGTTAGTTTAATTTCCATAATAGCGGAGCAGGTGCGAATTTTAGACGCGTCACGCATGTCTCCGTTTTAAACATGTTAAAAATGTTCAGAATACAAATCCAGGCTCTGTCTCGTTAGATTGGTGTAACTAAAGTTTGTAATGAATGAAACTTTACATTAAACCATGATGAAAAGAAAAGGATCCGATTAAATCGTTTCCCCCTCATTTTACAGTCAGTACAGTGCAGTGTGTGTGGCTCTGGGGTTAATTAAGTTTAATTGTTTCTCTTTGCAACAATCTTCACAAGAAGGCAAAACATTTAAATGGCAGATTACAGATATTTCCATTTGACTGTTTATTTTGACGGATAAACTCAAGGATGTTGGTGGTTTTGAAAGAATTACCCCGACGCACACTGATGCACACACAGATGAGCTGACATTTTAATCGTTGACGCACATCGCGAAGGTAACTAAATCAATCAAGAAATGATTCCCATCAGATCATCAGAGCTTTATACTAGACACTGTGTTCAGCGCGGCTCGGAGCGCCCACGGCGGACAGTGAGCTGAAGATCTGTAGAGGGGTTCACAGCGCAGAACCATGGTGCATGCGGTAAGATTTCCTCCCACTGAAGCGGTCTGGAAACCCGGTCTCTCTGAGGGATGTGTCACTTGGAAAAATGTTCTTTTTATGAAATTATGAAACTTTGGCTGAATAGCGCTTGTTCCCGTCTCTAATATGGAGACGCATGACGCATCCAGTCTGAGGCAGAATAGCCTCTTCAGCTCAGAATGCACCTGTAGAGACATTTGATCATGCACAAAGTTTATGTGGAGCAGAAGCGGTCGGGCCACGGCACGTGAAACGTTCCTAACCTACATGAAGTGTAACATTAATATGTTACTGGACACACTGGTCTGGTTGGTTAGACCAGTGTTTGAAGTGGAAAACACACACACACACACACACACACACACACACACATAGACCAATTAAAATAATGCTAATAGCGTGGACTAGAAGCCAGGTGATGGGTTACGTATTTAAATGATGATCAGGCTGCTGTAAAATGCAATCTCCATCCACATCCAGACACAATTATCCTCTATTCTTTCTCTAGTTGCTCTGCTCTTGTCTGGGCTGACGTAGCTGACGGTGCGCGCGGCACGCCTAACTAGCGGCTGATGCACATTTTACGCATTTGGAGAGGTGGGCTGGATGCTTTGCTTTTACTGGAAGATGGTCCACTTAACGCACGGATGTAGACTAAATATTAATGACAAATGAATGAAAATTAAATTGCGAGTTTTTACTTCATATTTTAGAAATAAAAATGACGGGAAAAACAATTATGACGTCTTTTTAAATGAAATTTTCCAACGCGACCTGCCTGCTTCACATAAGTCACTGCTTATTAAGGTCCGCCCAAAATTACCGTGGCCCACCCTAAAATGAAAACCTGGCGCCGCGCCTGTTATAAACCTCTGCAAATTGTTGTTCTTCACTTTATCAAACTCAGACTTTGTACAGCTAATGTCAAGATGTAAAATTATGAATTCAGTCGAGCTCTACCATCCCTCCCTCTCCTGCTCTCCTGGAAACCCGACATCGGCTGTCAGAAGCGGGAGGTGAAGAAGGAGATGAGGCAAACACAGTGAGTGCGACGTAAAGAAACCAGACTGGTGTGGAGGTCAGCAAAACAGCTGGAAAAGTGTGGGTGTTGCATCCCCCCCATCTCCCATGGGTGCGACGCCCATGCGAGCGACCGGTACCGGCTGCTGTCACCTGTTGTGAGCAGCTCTCTGCTGTCTGAGGGTAGGCCCCGCCCACAACGCCGCAGCTGCTGCCGTGTTTTCTTTACTGTGGGAAATGGGTAATAATGGCTCTTTGATGGGAACAGGTTGCCGACCCCTGGTATACGATCTGAGCTGGTAAAACAAAAATCCTCATCAGCAGGCTATTTTGAAAGTGGGGGGGGGGGGGGGGGGCACAGCTGCCAATCACAAATTTCGCCGGGGACATGTCCCCGGCGTCCCTGGTTAAAATGACGCCTATGCTTACCTAGCACCTTCCCTGCACCCATCTCCCCTCTCTACCATCCACTGCTTTGTTCCCTCCTCTCCATGATTGATGTCAAGCTGTTGTTATTGTTGTTGTTAGCCTCAAGGGAAACATGCCGATTATCACTTGTAAGTTGCTTTGGACAAAAGCGTCTGCTAAATACATAAACAAAATCCCCAAGAAATAGGACATAGTCATATTTTAGGAAACAGTCTGCCATAAGATCATAGAAATCATTAAAGAAGTGGGTGACCTGGAGTACAAGGTCAGTCATCATGGTGTTGGTTGACAGGTGTGAGCATAACCACCTTCAGTAAGACAAAGGAAATGGTGATTGACCTCCAGAGAAACACTCCTCCTCACTCACCAGTAAACAAACTGAACTGGTCCAACAATAGGCTCTCTGTATTAGAAGGACCAAAGCCACCTCCCCCTCCTGAGGAGGCTGATGTCCTTCTGAGCTAATTCCCATATGCTAAAATCATTTTATTATTCTGTTGTTGGCTCTGTTATCCACTCTGCTGTGGTCTGTTGGGTGCAGGCAGCTCTGACCGAGACAGGAAGAAACTGAACAAGCTAGTTTACAAAGGTTAGCTCGGTTCTGAGCTAAGTCAAAATTAAAGTCCCACAGTCATCTCACACTGGTGAAATTCATCTCCGCCTTTGACCCATCCCCATGGAGGGGAGTGGTGGGTGTGCTCAGAAATTATTTAGTGGTTTAATCCCCCAATCTAAACCCCTAAAGCTTAGAGTCCAGCAGGGATGGACCGTCGGCTGGATGCTCTGGAGCACAAACTGGAGAAAGCCCTGCTGAGTGCTTTACCGATGGTCTCCTTTAACACCAAAGCTGTGAGCAGATCTGCTGCAGGATCAGCAGCTATCGGACCTTCAGAACCAATCAGCTTAATGCCGTCCACGCACTGATCTCAAAGCAGCTAACAGACTGAGTGTGAAACCTGGAGGCCTTACTGCTCATCCTGAACCAAATCTCAGCGTCAGAGTGGACATGGAGGTTAATAAAATCATGTTAACTTAAAAGATTTTAACAAACTTAATCTGAAGTGTCAACATAGCTGTTGAAAGGTCAAAGTCCTGTTCTGTTGTTCAGCCTGAAGCCTCTGTAATGGCTTGTGTTCAACTGTCAAAGGGAATTTAATACAGTTGTGATAAAAGGGACAGGAGGACCATGAATGCACCATGGGCTTTTCTGCAGCAAGCTCAAGTTGAGGTTTCTTGTCCGATTACTCAGGTTTTAGTACAGTTTGGGTTAAGTTACAACACCAGCAACATACACGGGTTTCTAGTCTAAATACCCACACTCCCATAATTCTGTTCAGAGCTTCACAGCTGATTTTTGAACTGTAACTTACTCAATCACATCTGGCACCATTCAAATACATAAGGTCATGCTGAGAGAAGAAAACTCATAAACTCTAATTAATGAGTAACACGATTCACACGGATGTTCTAACCTAGTTGGTTACATTCTGTTGGTACAGGGGTCTGAACACGACTGGTTTTAAATACTGTACAAATGTATGTAAACTCTACTAATAACTTTTGATCTGATGTTTAACTGTACTGGTGCGAGTAGCTAATAAAAATGTTTAAGACAAACTAATCAAGGCTATTCCTGCTTTTAATTGGTCTGCCTCACAAAAACTAATTTGCTAAAATACATGAGAGCAGTAAATTATTGCACGTTTTAATAAACGTTTATGCCCAAAATATATAAATGAATAGATTTTAATTTAATCTGACAAAACACTCTGGCTTAAAAGTACCTAATGACTCACTTTTGGTCACAGACCATGATGTTTTATGCCTTTCTGGGCTTGTGTGTGCACCCCTCATACAGCAATGGATGGATTTTAGTACATCTCTCAGATAGTAATGAACTTCTACAACTGACTACCTTTTGGTGCCCACTTCTAGATGGCACAGAAAACATATCAAAGACAGAAATGATTCTAATTCAGGTGTGTTGCTGCCACCAGCCGGACTAGATCAGCCAATCACAGCTGATGATCCACAGCTGTTTCACACATGATGAGTGTTTTTAAACCTGTCAGGTAAGCTGTGTCGATTCAGACCAGAACCATGGCAGCAGTTGGGGTGCTCCTTGTGTTACTGCAGATTGTGTTACTGGGTCAAGGTTTGGAATTTAATAAGATTTTAATAAAATAGAGTTTCAGTATCAAGATCCTGATCACCTTATATTAGAAGACGTGCTATCATAGATTTTTATTTATTATGTGCTTTTTGTAGGTTCTTCATTAGATGGACCCAAAAATCTGAGAGCTGGTGACGAGCTGCAGGTTAAACGGGAAGGTGTGGAAACCAGTAATAGAGTTGTGTAAGAATTTCCTTCTGACACTAACTTGATTTTGGTTTACAGGCCTGTTCCCAAGCGACTCTGCTCTGAAGAAGCTGTTTTCGGTCCTGGAGAAAGGGGCCAAAGGTGAGTTACTGTAAGACCCTACTGGTCTAGCTCACCTCATCTGGCTTCACTAATCTGAATGACCTGCATAAAAACTGGAGGTCAAGTTATGCTAAGGCTCTAAAAAAATTGTAATGAAGAGATGTTACTGGTCTTGGAAGGGCTATTAAAGTCCTGCATGTATAAAAACTAAATTTTCTCATTTTATTACAGTTCCAGTCCTCAAAGTAAAAAGGGAAACAAATGTGACGCTTGTACAATGTGGTAACTCTACTGCTGCTGCATGCAGTGTGGTCAACAGAACTACATATGATCAGAGCTCTGCAACAGCCCAGCTTGTAGGATTGGAACCAGCTCAGGGAGAAGTGGCCTCACATTTGTACATGTGGCCCCCCCACCACGGGCCCATGACGTTCCCGACGCGGCCCCCCCACCACGGGCCCATGACGTTCCCGACGCGGCCCCCCCACCACGGGCCCATGACGTTCCCGACGCGGCCCCCCCACCACGGGCCCATGACGTTCCCGACGCGGCCCCCCTACCACGGGCCCATGACGTTCCCGACGCGGCCCCCCTACCACGGGCCCATGACGTTCCCGACGCGGCCCCCCTACCACGGGCCCATGACGTTCCTGACGCGGCCCCCCCACCACGGGCCCTGGTTGCAGAAATAGATTTCACTCACTGGTCCAGTCATGGGCTCATTACTGTTTGAATAAATATTTGGTTTAATTTGTAACTTTATTGATGTGAACTATTTGTAGTGTCAACAACTAATGTTGGGTCTTGATCATATAATGGTAATGGATATTTAATGAATTAAGGCCTGTTTCTCATATTTCTAAATGATTGAAAAGAAGTTTCACTACTGATATTTTGGGTGTTACACCCAGACATTCAAAAATGGGTGAAGAGGTAGTGCTTAAGGTGAGCGTAATGTAACTAGCTCGAGGTAACTCCTGAAACAAGACAGAACTTCCAAGGCAGTTGGACTGTGCAGCCACCTGGCCTCTGTTCAGAGCTGTATTTGTGCTGGTCACTTGTGGAGCTCTAATATGGACTAAAAGAGGTGCTGGGAGCCCTGGCTGCTTGTGAAGTTACACTCTGCTGCAGTGGCAGCTTTTCCCGGCCGACAGCTCGCTCTGCTGTGGAACTTTCTTTGACCGTGGTGGACCAGCAAAGCCCCAAAGCTTTGGTTTGCAAGCTTCAGTCAGCTTGCATAGCTTGAGTTTTAGTACCCAATCAGCCAACCAACACATTTAAACAAGTTTATGACCGAGCACTGTTAAATAACCACTTTCCCCATCCACCCAGCAAAATAAAGTACATATAAATATACTTGCTGATTAAAATAAGCAAAGACTTGTTCATAGATTTGTTAGTGCAATCAATTCCTCAGGTTAACATCCAAACACACAATGGACAAAACTTGAAGGTGCACTATAAAATAATATAGTGAGAAAAGATGAAGAGCAATCAAGTGTTTTTGGAAGGAGGGTTATACTGAAACATCCCATCAAGCATTGTCACGTGTCAATGTCCAAAAATGTTTATGGTTGGATGTCTTAAATTTGTTAAAACATGCAACAGGAAATTCCCTAATTCATTCAGATATACTTGTACATGTCAACAGTTGCATGTATAAGATTTTGACTTTTGGTCACATGTTGTCCAGCATACAGCTGCGGTACTCAGTAGGTGGTCCATGGGCCTCCTCTTTGTGGTCCCTGAACCACGAGCGAAGAGGAAAAAACAATTATTACAAAAAATTCCATCAACACATTTATAGTCAATGACCTGCAGTACCTCTCTGCAGCAACAGGGGGCGGCAGTACATTATAAAGGATGCCTGAAGAAGAATTCAGATTAGAGGAAAGCAAAGCTAACATGATGAAAATGTGATGCTTCAGTCCACAGAGTAATCAGAGTAACAAACCTCTCAGAGGGTGTGTGACGGCTTTAAAATGAGGCTGATAAGTTCTACCAGTGGCCTCACACCTCCCCTGTTTTATTTCAGAATGATTGGCTGACAGTAACTGTGAGCCAGCTCATGATTGGTTGACTGTTTCAGCTTCAGATGGAGGTCCAACAGCTGAGAGGTCAAGGGTCAATCTCCTCAGGGATAATGTTTAGGATCACGTCCTCCTTTCCTCACCACAGTTCGCAGCTTCTCGTCTTGCTTTATGGCAGCGCTGACGTCGCTGGCAGAGGTGATGGTGTTGCCAGTCCCCACATGCCAAAGACAGTGGCAAGCTGAAACACACTGAACTGGCTTATGCGAGTAAAATCAGCCAGCGGACAGGAGCCCAGCTGCACAACAAACATCCAAGCTGAGGGTCACAGAAGGGTCACAGGGACAAGAGGACAGAACTGGGCAAAAGGTCAGGAAGCAGGCTGGCTCCACCTCTGGCTCCACCCCTGGATCCACCTCTGGCGGGAAAAGAAGGACTGGAATAGAGTGAAGTCAGCCCGTTTGGATCAAGAAGCCCTCTCAGGAATGCTGAAGGAAGACCTACAATTTGCTACAACCCTGATGATGTAGTGATCTGTGCCCTCATGTAGAGTGCTGCATGTAATGAATGACCTGTGTTAAGAAGAATGCTGCATGTAGTGAAAATGATACCAAATGTCTTGTGTTGAGCTACAAAGTGTGTATCTGGTAAATGACCCCATGACCTTACTATCATGAGGTAATATGTGCCTTTTACCTTGCCTAAGCTGGCCCAGGAAGGGTATAAAAGAGCAGCTCTGAGAGAGCTGGAGAGATTCGACAAGCAGCTGGGGCAGACGACAGAGAGAGACAGAGCAGATTTGGAGAGGTCATCCTCCGTCCTCTGGACGGGGGATGACAGGTCATTTTTTGGAGAGAAGCAGAGGAAGAGAAGTTTGGGGCGATTCACAGAAGACCGAGTTGGTGTAAATCAACTCCTTATTTCTTAATCAATCATTAGAACTAATTCCTCCTTGGGGGAAGCAGTAAATTTTTATTTTTACTCTTTTTTGTATTTTTTTATCTTGTAATAAACTTTTTGAAAAAGAATCTACATTCCTGATTCTTAAAGGGGTCCTCTTTGAAGGGTCCAGTGGGAGCCCTGACCATTATTGCACAGAGGTAAGCATATTAATTATAGGTTCCTGAATTATCAGGATTTACTTTACGGTTTGTGACAGATTAATATAAAGAAACCTTAAGATTAGAGGAGCTTGCCTCCTCCCTCACCCGCGAGTAACGAGATGTCTTAAGGATGATAAAACCAGAACATTAGAGGTTAATTTTGGCTCTGATTTGCAAGTTGAAAAAGTCTATCAGCGCTGGAAGGTTGGATTAATTAGATAAAGTGATAAATCTATGTTAGCCTGATAAACTAACAAGAATCATTTTATAGTTACCAACCATCCACATAAGCTGACAGGGGCGCAATTAATCCAAATAACCCAAATAATTGCCAGCCGGGCCGGCCTCCCGCTGGGCTTCGTCCCCAGTATCTAAACCAAAGATAACCGGATTGCTTAAAAAGAAGTGGGCTACTACAAAGGGACAAGTCTTGCATATCATTTCACCTTTAAAATAGAAGATATGATTCTTACTTAGGAAGTCCAAACCAGGGTCTAGTACGATAATACTCACCGACATCCCCACCGAACCCTGATAGATGCACAGTCTCATAAGTTCTAACGGAACTGGGTTTTAACGGAACCGACAAATGGGATGTGCACGCGACAATGGGCTCGCTATTGATGCCGATGACATCCTCTTCTTTCAGACCAGGGGTCTCATTTATTAAAGGGGGCTCTTGTTCTGTGTGTGCAAAAAGCGGTACAAGTGGTAATGCTGCTGGAATTCATAAGTTTATACTTCTCAGCAGCAAACGCTTTTTATTTATTTATTTTTTACCGTGTCCTGTCTGGCTGTGAAGCAAGCAGAATTGATGTCTGAATGCTGGTGACAAGCCTTACAGATTTATTCTCAGGTGGAGCATCAAAGCGTTTGCTTTTAATGTCACGCCTGATACTTAAAACTTTATTGTTATTGTTGTTGAATGCTTTGTAATTCCAACCAGACACGGAGATAGAGGTGAAAGAGAAAGGAAAAGAAAAGGTGGGGAGAGGAGGGGGGGGGGGTCCACAAAAATAAACAATAAAGAACAAGAGTCTGCTTCTAGACCTGCAGAAAAAGACAAAAAAAAAAAAAAGGACACAAAAAAGGGACACAACAACAATACAACAAGATCTACCTATCACTACGTCAACTTGATATATATATATATATATATATATATACATATATATATATATATATATATATATATATATATATATATATATATATAATCAACATTGCTTAACTGAAGAATCACGATAATAAATCACAATGCATTAAGTGCCCACCATAGTCTTAAGACCTGTGTTTAACGTGACCAAGCCCATAATTTTGAGAGCACCATGTGAGCACCTGTGTGTGTACACGCGCTTGTTTATTTAAGGTTTCTCTATAGGAGCGTCCAACAAAGAGTGTGAGGGACCACAGATCCGCCCCCCAAAGATGTGCAGGAGACGGGGGGAGCTCCAAGTCCCAGAGATCCAGGCGCTGCCCCAGAACGCAGGAACCCCAAGGAGACTGCAACCAGGAAGGCCCCCGCCCCCCTCGAGAGGCACAGAGGATCGCCCCGGGGGGCCACAACCAGCAGCCGGCAGAGTCCCTGGAGATATCAGCGGCAAGCCCACAGGCCCGCCTGCAGCCTCCCACCCCCTAGCCGGCTGAGCCCGGGACCCTGCGACCCGGGACCCAGGGGCGAACACCCCCGCCGGGGACCCAGCAGAGCCCAGGGACCCAGACCCCACCAGGCAGCCACCGGGATCTATCAGGCAGATGCCAAAATCTTAAACCCCCAGACCCGGGTGCCACGAACACTCAGGCATATGGCAAGCCAAATGAGCATTTATTCTGATATCAGGATATCAGCCAGAATTGTCATGAACATGTAAGCCATTTCTGTCCACTAGTTAACTAGTTAGACATGTTTGTGTCAACTAGTTAAATATCGAGGGTGAAAATGTGCCCACTAGTTAACTAGTGACAGCAGAAATGCGCACTAGTTAACTAGTGAACACATTTAGGCTTCAGTAGTTAACTAGTTGACACAAAAACTGCTCACTAGTTAACTAGTAAAAGCAGAAATGCATAGCAGTCAGCTACTTGAAGGTATTTGTCTCACTAGTTAACTAGTGAGGGTCAATATGTGCACACTAGTTAACTTGTGGTAGACATAAATGTGCACTAGTTAACTAGTGAACATATTTTGGCTTCACTAGTTAACTAGTTGACACATAAATGGCTCACTAGTTAACTAGTAAAGACCAAAATGCATACCAGTCAGCTAGTTGAAGGTTTTTGTGTCTCACTAGTTAACTAGTGATGGCCAAAATGTGCACACTAGTTAACTTGTGGTAGACATAAATGTGCACTAGTTAACTAGTGAACACATTTTGGCTTCACTAGTTAACTAGTTGTCACATAAATGGCTCACTAGTTAACTAGTAAAGGCCAAAGTGCATACCAGTCAGCTAGTTGAAGGTTTTTTGTGTCTCACTAGTTAACTATTGATGGCCAAAATGTGCACACTAGTTAACTAGTGAAGGCTTAACTCCTAACTAGTTAACTAGTTGGAGTAGATCAGTGCCACTAGTTAACTAGTGAACCATTAATGGCTCACTAGCTAGCTAGTTGATGGCAGCAGGCTCAC